CTCTCCCAAATTCTATGCCGCCGTCTGTCACCATATGCAAGAGAGTTCGTGGGGCAATACCAGGCGGGATTCATGGGTGCCCGCGCTACCACGGACCAAATTTTCGCGATTCGGCAGGTTCTGCAGAAATGCCGCGAATACAACGTGCCCACACATCATTTGTTCATCGATTTCAAATCCGCATACGACACAATCGATCGAGATCAACTATGGCAGATTATGCACGAGTACGGATTTCCGGATAAACTGACGCGATTGGTCAAGGCGACGATGGATCGAGTGACGTGCGTTGTTCGAGTATCGGGGACACTCTCGAGTCCCTTTGAATCTCGAAGGGGGTTACGGCAGGGTGATGGACTTTCGTGTCTGCTGTTCAACATCGCGTTAGAAGGTGTGATCAGAAGAGCTGGGATAGACACGAGTGGCACGATATTCAGGAAGTCCATCCAGCTCCTTGGTTTCGCCGATGACATTGACATTATGGCACGGAACTTTGAGATGATGGCGGAAACGTACATCAGACTGAAGGCTGAAGCTAGACGGATTGGACTTGCCATCAACGCATCAAAGACAAAATATATGAAAGCAAGAGGTTCTAGGGAAGACAATGTTAGCCTCCCACCCCGAGTTCAGATTGACGGTGACGAAATCGAGGTGGTCGATGAGTTCGTGTATTTGGGCTCACTGGTGACCGCCGAAAATGATACCAGCAGAGAAATTCAAAGACGCATTATGGCAGGGAATCGTGCCTACTTTGGACTCCGGAGGACGCTCCGGTCGAATAAAATTCGCCGCCGCACGAAGTTGACTGTCTACAAGACGCTGATTAGACCGGTGGTCCTTTACGGCCACGAGACCTGGACTATGCTCGTGGAGGACCAACGCGCCCTTGGTGTTTTCGAACGGAAGGTGTTGCGTACCATCTACGGTGGAGTGCAGATGGATGACGGAACGTGGAGGAGGCGAATGAACCACGAATTGCACCAGCTGCTGGGAGAACCATCCATCGTCCACATTGCAAAAATTGGGCGACTACGGTGGGCTGGGCACGTCGTAAGAATGCCGCACGACGACCCAGTGAAAATGGTTCTAGAAAGCGACCCAACAGGAACAAGAAGAAGAGGCGCGCAGCGGGCAAGGTGGATCGACCAAGTAGAAGGTGACCTGCGGACCCTTCGCAGACTACGAGGCTGGCGAACTGTGGCCATGGATCGAGTAGAGTGGAGACGACTTCTTCGGACAGCAGAGGACAACAAGGCCTTAGCCTGATTGGTAAGGTAAGTAACCTAACCAACAGGCCATGCCCGATCAGGGCAGGCAATTGAAAAATCTCGCTTCAATGGAGGGACTCGCCTGAGTGACAAATCAAATTTAGATGGGAATGATATATCTTGCCTCAGATGAGGCAGACGGCTTACCGATGGACATAGCCCAATCGGGGCGGGTAAATGGATAATCTCGTCTCAAAGAAGCGAGAGTCCCAAGCAACGAACATATCAAGATGGGAATGAAACATCTGACCTCATTAGAGAGTTGCCTAAGCCAAGTCAGGTCAGCCAAACCACGATAACTTGGTAGAGATAAATTCGATCTACCTTGATTAGAAATATTCTTTGATCAACATTTTGTTTTGTCTACCTTCTGCCATGATGAACAATTTTCCTTGTTAAACGGTTTGTTTTGAATCTTGATCAACAATCCGCCTTGATCAACAATCTGTCTTGATCGACAATTTACCACCGACAAACCGACATGAAACTTAAACTTAACTCTTGATCGAGAATCCATAACGGCCGATTCAAATGTGCAGCGATCCCATCTGTCAAAACCATAGAAATGTGTTATCTAGATAAAAATAATTTGTCCGAAATAGATTAGACACGAACCAACTCATAAATTTTGTACGCGTGTTCGTGGCTAGGATAAATATTTTCCGCGAACACGGCGGCAGATGTCAGTTTTGTGCTTTGATCAAAAATTTCTTTGTAATTTGTATGATCATTCATGTCGGTTTGTCGGTGGATTTACTACGATCATGAATCTATCTTCATCAACACTGTTCCTTGATTAATAATTTGCCTTGATGAACAATTGTCTTTAAGCATCAATCTGCCTTGATCAACCTTATAACTTGATCATCAATATTCCTTCATTTCCAATCCAGCTTGATTATCAATCTGCCTTGATGAACAATCCACCTTGATCAACATCGTACTTTCAACAACAGTTCATGTCAGCAGAGATTGTTGAATACATTTGATAGTTGATCAAGAAAAATTGTTCATCGAGGAATATGCCGATCAAGGCAGATGGATGATCAAAGAAGATTTTTGATCAAGAAAAAATGTTGAAGGTAAATTATTGCTTAAAATAATGTTTTGATGAGCATCGATATTGATTTTGAAAAAAAGAAATATTGTTGATGTAGAATTTTCTGGATCAAAAAATACTGTTCATCAACAAATTATTGATGAAGATTAATTGATGATCAAGGCAAACTCAAGCTGAACATTGTATTAGGTCCTAAGTAATATTGACAGATTATATTTGTATAATGGCCATGTTAAGACATTCCGAGGTATTTTCAGCACACAGATTGATAAAAGAAGCTTTTATCTAGCATCTAATATGACAAACCCAGAACAATTTTGTCTTGATCAACTATCCAACGTGATCAAAATTTTTTTCTTGATCGATAATCTGCCTTGAACAACAATTTGTCTTGATCAACAGTTTACCTTGATCACAAATCTGCCATGCACTGCAATCTGCTTTGCTTACCAATCTGTCTTGTTCAACAATCTACTTGGATCACTGTCCTAGGGGAGAGACAAATTGGAAAAATAATTGTTGTTATTATCATTTTCTTGGAATTGGGTTGTTTAAGGGTATTGAGGTAAATGCATTTTCGTAATCTGCATTAAAAATGGAACCCAAACCCAAAATTTCATTAATTTTGGTACACTGGAACTATTTTACATAAGTAGGATTACATTTGCAAAAATCACCTTATTAGCGCCCCTTGGTGTCACTTTGTATGGGAGCGAGCTGTCAGTTTGTTAGGTTTGTGTCAAACAGTGAAGTTATTATTTTGCTTTAAATCTTGATTTAAAAATCGAGATAAAAATGTGTGGGTTCGAAAAAAATATCGCTGTGCTCAGAAAACGAAGCTCTTTCAGATGATGTATAAAAAACGATACATTTTCCAAAATTAAAGAACCCAATTGCCTTAAAGACAAACATATTCGTACATCAAACATTGCTCAGCACAAATAGCTCTACATGCTGGGCACTTGGCATACACAGTTTTGATCACGAACTGCTCATTTGCTAATAACTTTGCACACAGTTGACGAAACATAGTTCTGTTTGAAGCAGTAGATAGAATAAAGTTTAAACTTGTAATAAGTACGTACGAAAAGGTTCCAGCAATAAACTGTATTTGTTTTTGCGTTGCAAAAATCAAGTGAGAAATACTCGCTGCACATCACGGACTTAAAGTCTAAAAATTCATTGGTGTTGATCCAAATGTTAAGATTTACCTGCTCTTTGCATATCTGCAGTAAGCTATGATCCTAATCTATCAATTACTTTAAAGAAAAACAAATTTCAACAACTGAGTGAAAAGTTATTAACAAATGAGCAGTTGGTGTGTACAACTGTGCATGTCAAGCATGCAGTTCTATCTTTTACAGCTATCGAAAATGCTTTCATTATTTCGATGATGTTTTGAAATAATTGGTGATATTTGCAAATAAATCTTGTCTAGCCTGTCAGCAACATTCCTTTATCAATCCTTCCTTATGCTTAGTTTTCTGCTCTCGGCGCTTATTCTTCAAATCTTCAACGAAATTCATCATAAAAAAAACACACTCCCAACCGTTAAACCCAAAACTGACTACTGACCGCGGAAGTTGCCTAACCCGAGGCCGACGTTTCGAACATGATCCACTTTTCGAGGGATCAAATTTCCCTCCACCGCGCGCCACCTCGCTCCGTGCTCTGCACTGCGTCGAAACGTCAAACTGGTGCAAATTAAAGCCCTACAGTAAAAGTATGGATGTCTGTCAAAAGTTGTTCCAATCGAACCGTCAAAATGCACCGCTTTGCTCGATTGGAACAGCTTTTTTCAGTTTTGTGGTGACAGTCGTCCATACTTTTACTGTAGGGCTTTAGTGCAAATGCGCCGCCTGCTAATGCATGGACGGACCGCCATAAAAATCAACCGCCTGCCATAAATCTCCAATCTTTCAACGCAACGGGAAATTCGATATGCTTTCAGGGCTTCAGCTAAATAAACACGCACTTTTTACGATCGTCCCTAGTTTTTGCCGGTCCAAAAAATAAACTCGAAAAAAGCAAGTCCTTCTCATTTGCGCCCATTTGCTGTTTGTTATTGTTGGCTATAAAATTGTAAATTTGTTGCATTATCTCCCCGATACCGGAAGGAACCGTAAACAAACGACGAGAGCGAGTCAGTTTTCGGGTTTTGATTATTTAGATTGAAAAATCGAAGATTTGGCCCACTTTTTTCGGGCCTTTGTTTATGATGAATGTTCGTTTATTCTCGTGTTTATTATCCTTGTTCGATCCTTCAGCGATGCATCCTGGATTCGACTCGCAGTTGCGTTGCAATTTGTCTCGCCCGTCTCGTCTCGGTGCAAAACCCCTGGGCGATGCAGGGAAAGGAAGTTGCAATTATTCTTCCAAGATTTCCCTCCCTTTCACATTAATCAATTCTGTTTACCTGAAGCTCTGTACGCTTTCTGCAGGGCCTCAGAGAAAAAAAAAGAGGGAGGAAAATAATTACAATTTCTTCCACTTCCGTTTCCAACATTAATTGTCACACTCGCTTGAATTGTTCCTTTTTCTTCTGCTTAAAAAAATGTAGTTTAGGTAACGAAACTCGGTGACAGTTGTGCAAATTCTACCGATGAATAAAAAAAAAATATCGCTTTCAACACATTTCTTATCCCCCGTTTCTTCTCTCCCCTCAACAGAAACCATTTTCATGCAGCTCGAACCATCCCTCCTGGCGGCGGCTTGCATATCCTCGGCCAGCCGAGGGTTGAACGTTTCCACCAAGATGGCCACCGGGTACGATCTGTGCCGGCTTACGTCGCACGATCTCGTCAAAGTCGACTTTATCGTGAAAATCATCGAGGAAATCGTCGCCAAGGAGATTGCCGATAAACAACTCCAGCAGCAACAGCAGCAGATGGGCGCCAGCGGGGGCAGCTGCAAGGAACAGTACCAGCAAGTGCCCCAGAAAGTCAGCCCGGCAGGCGCCTCCGTCGAGCAGGCGTCGGTCCAACAGCAGCCCGAAACGCCTACTGATGTGCAGTTTATCTACTTCTGACTCGAGCAGATCGTGGTCGAGGGCGGATGGGCAGTTGTTGAGTATTCACTGCATTTATGCTGACGGAGGGGGAGCGATCTATTATTCTCTTGTTTTGAGATATTTATCTGCCAAATTTAAGCATGTTAATAAGAAAGCTAAAGATTTTTTCAAAGAAATGGGAATGCAGGCGCTATTCGTCATTTGTCGTTACGATATACGGGCGGTTGGGTTTTATTTTTTTGGTTTGGCTGTAATCATCCATCATACGCAGAAAGTACCCCTACTTCCCAATCCATTTCGCAGTGACGTCTTGTAAGTGTCATTTTTGACAAACCAAAATTTCATATACATTTTTTGTAAATATTTACATTGCAAAAAATCGCTAGTTAATTTTCTCAAACACAAAAAAAAAACTTTTTGATCAGTTCAAAAGCAAAAAAAAATATGGTGCGAAAATAGTTTATCTACTGTTTATACTGTTCTATTTTCCTTTTTTCTTAGTTTAAACATTCTTTTTCCATTGGATCTTGTAGATTCTATACTGTTTATTCTCTCTTTAAAAAAACAAGTGTTCACCTTTTCCGATTTTGGCAACGAGATTTAAACCTTAGCGTGTAATGTTTACCGTAAGCGTATGATTTACCCTTTATATACACCCTGAAAAGTTTGTTAAATTATTTATTTATATTTACCACCTAGAACGGTGCCCTCTCCTGCGAGCCAGGAGCCAGGGCCTTGCAAATTTTCCTCAAATTCCATTTTTTTTTTCCCCGTTGTACCTAAGATCAGTCGTTTAAGGTTAGTGTTCGAGCGTAGAAGTAAGAGAGTGTTAAACTGCCAAAGATTTATCTAGGAGAAAACCAACCAACGATCAACCACCGAAAAGCGAAATCAGCCTGCCATATAAGACTTTTTTGTTTTGCTCATCATTCACAACCTAAATTTAACATTCGAATATCGATCTCATTGAAGTTAGGACGGACGATTGTACAGGAGAGCGCGAGCGACATGCCAGTTCTATCATAAGTGCTATTCAGGGCCGAAAGATTAAGACTGTAAATATAGATTCGAAATTCCGAAACCGAAAGGAGAGAAACAGTTGCCTGCATTTTGAAACTTACAAGTGCTACTTAAAAAAATTAAGACGAATGCAAATTATACGAGGAAAAAAACGAGATTTGTTAAGGGAAGTTAGGGAAACGGATTTCCAAGACAGATTTCTATTCTTTTTTTTTTTCGTTGGCATTTGTTCTCTATTAATTGTTAATCTAGTCTTAATTAAGAGAAATTTATACTAATTTATACAAAGCCAGAAAACCAGATGAAAAGATGAGAGAAAATCGGTTGAAATTGAAATAAAGATTTTTTTTTTGCTGCCGGAAATGTTTGATTTTTGTTTTCGTAAGTTATATTGGAACGGTCGGTAGGACAAATTTCGATGTTGATCGCGAAGTTTCTCACTATATACTCATGTGAATGTACATATTTTTTGTGTCGTCGGAAGAATCGTTTGATGTTTTGTCAACGTTTTTATAGATTTAAATAAAAATCGTAAATAAAGAAAGCTAAAAATCAGTTGTAACCTGGTTGTGATACAGAGAAATTTCCCATTTGATTAATCGCGGCTGGTCCAAGGTTGTGAATACTTCTGCCACCATCTTGTCGGAAGATCAGTACTCCAATCTCCAAATGTATGACTCCCTGGGACCAGTGCTGAGATTTGTCATTGTCATTGACAGACTTTCGCGCGATATTGACAAAATTGTTCGTCACATAGTCACTGACAGACATGATCCTCAAAAAAACCTTCGTCAAAATCTCATTCATTTTTTCGTCAGTGACAAAGATTCACCTGGTAACAAAAAGTGTAATTTAGTACATTCTGTGTCACATTATTGTTATCCAAGTAGCTCAGGACGTGGATACTTGTTCACTAAAATGGATCCATGTAATTGTTTTGCTCAAGTCATTTAATTTTGTTACAAATTTAGCTAATAAACAAATCTGCACATGTTCGTCACTGACACCATTGTCATTGACAATTGACATGGTTTGCCTTGACTATGACTGTTAGCTAAAATGAGTGACCAAAGCAGAATTGTCAATATCACCGTGTACTGTCGAGATTTTGCAGCACTGCCTGGGACACTCAAATCCTGTCACATATGTTTGCTTCATTTCGTCTCAGAGACACAACTTCTAATTCAAAACAGAATCAGCAGTAACGATACCTCGCAGCCAGACAAATTTGCATACAAGATACATAAATTGTCAAAGAGCTATCACAAATTATCTGAGGTTTCAAATAAATATCGTTACCCAATATCCTGGCTTCACCGAAGCAAGCGCGCCGTGATTCGATCGTGCATGCTCGAAACGAAAGGTCTATCCGCTCCAGAGTTAGTGAAAATTTTGAAACATGTCGAAATCCACGGTGTGAGACGTTCTGAAACAGACTTGGCAAGCTTCCTTCCACTTCCTACTACCAAACAGTGGCGTCACAGTGGTTCCCAAGGATATGAATCTAAAACCAATTGAGGAATACTAGTCAATTCTAGATAAAGCTGGAATAAGGGCCAATGTCGAACCCATTTCAAAAACTGGAATATTTTTAATTATTTAATTATTGGTTAGCATTATTGTGAGGTAGTTAAAAATATTATTATTTGTATTTACAACTCGAAAAAAATGAAAATGTTTCATCCACCCTATTGATTTAGGTCGTTCGCAATGCTGAGTTCCAAACTACTCGTCAATTCTATAATTTGAAACTGTCAAAAATAAAACTGCAACACGATCAGCGCAACGCACAGTTCTAAAAGATGTTTGTAATCATCAAGTTCCATAAACTTTACTGTTCTCTATGAAGTTCTTCGTTTTTTGTTTGTGAAGCTCTTCGAAGCATCTTTAAACACATCCAAAGAAATTTGAAACAGAGTTCTATTATAGTCGCTATATTCATAGTTTGGCGGATAGAATTTCGATCTATCAAAAAGCGGAACCAATTCAATATATTTAAGACCAACAATTGAAAAGGTACTATCAACTTTTATTAACAAAACGTTGATTATTCTTTCGTCGCCAATCGGCCGTAAATTACCGGCATCATCGAACAGGGGAAACTTTCCCCAACCCAAAGATGGTGGTAGTTTTCGTAGGCGAGCCTTGATTCACGAGAAAAGGATTTCCGAAGTTTTGTTCGCAATAACTGATGTGCTCTTTTCTGTTGTTGGTCATGATTTGCTCGATTGGTTCCGCTATTTGACAGCTCAATTGGTTCCCGAGATTCTATCCGTCAGACTATGAATAAAGCGAATATAAGTTCCATTCGTGTTTCAAACTCGCTCAGAAATAAAACAGAATAGTCGAACAGTTGCAAATCTGGTGCAAAATAGTGCTCGAATAATCCCCCTTATTCTGCGAGTCACGTGACTCTCTCTCACCGGTGAGGTGACAATAGTCACCTCGTGTGAGGTGACTCTCCATTTGATTTGCATGGAGAGTCACCTCACACGAGGTGACAATTGTCACCTCACCGGTGAGAGAGAGTCACGTGACTCGCAGAATAAGGGGGAATGAAACTGCAACTCAGCATTGCGAGAGGTGCGTTTCTGTTCTAGTTTCAAATTGAAACAGTCCTTATAAAATACAACAGCATTGCGAACGGCCTAAATGATAAAATGAGGGGTTCGTGGATTTTCCTATGTTTCGAGGGGTGCATCGATTAGTGTTGGAGTAAATCGGTAACGCAGTGTGCTGATCACCTCCTTGGAGACCGAACGTCACCCCTAGCAACCTAAGTTTTCTTAAATAAACAACGGTGAAAAACTTTTCATTCCTGTTCAAGACTCCACTCAAGCTAGTCGTTAAATAAAATCCATTCTACTTTTAAACTTTGCTGTTCCGGTTCTTTCTAACAATCAAGAGGTTATGGGCGACTCACGCAAGGATTTGGTACACGGGATCCCGCAGTTCTCGGGCACCGGTTTCGACAATTGGCAATTTCGAGTGGAGAAGTATCTGAAGTCCGTGAAGCTGTTGGATATCATCAAGAAGGATCCTCTGATGGAAGCGGCCGAGCTCACGAAGTTCCAGGAAGATGACGGTAAGGCGGCGTTCCTGCTGACGTCATTTGTTCATGACGATTTGCTGCATTTGGTGCGGGACAAGGAGACGTCCAAGGAGATGTGGATGAGCCTTGAATCCGCCTACGCCAAGAAGTCCGTCTCGTCGCAGACATTCGTCAGGAAGCAACTTGCGAAGCTACGAATGATGGAAGGTTCGTCTGTGAAAGATCACCTGAAAACCTTCGAAGAGCTGATCCGACAACTGAAGCTGGCCGGAGCGAAGCTTGAAGAGAACGATATTGTGTCCCAGCTGTTTGCTACCCTTCCCGAGTCGTTCGATCCGTTGGTTACGGCACTGGAAAATCTAGGTGAGGAAAACCTAAAACTGGATGTTGTTCGCGAGCGCCTTCTTGCCGAGGAGCTCAAGAAAACCGACCGGGCAGCGGATTCCTGCCAAGAGAAACCTGCAGCATTCCAAGGATCGAAGCAGAAGCCTGGTAAGTTCACCGGTAAGTGTAACCGTTGCCAGAAGAAGGGGCACAAGGCCAAGGACTGTCGTGTGAAGTTGAAGACAGATGGGCGCGCTGAAGCTAACGCTGCTGCTGGAGGTAAGGCGGTGGCTTTTATGACCGGGAGATGCTCCCAAACAAAGGACGAGGGAGCAGTTTCCTTTAAGCTGGATTCCGGAGCCTCGGACCACCTTGTGAATGTGAAGCACTGTTTCGCCGACCTCACGAAGCTGAAGCACCCTGTCGTCATAAACGTGGCGAAGGATGATCAATCCCTGATTTCCCGGCACAGTGGCACGATCAACGGCGTCAACAAGGAAGGTAACTATATCAGCTTGAAGAACGTCCTCTTCGTACCAGATCTTCGAGCGAACTTGCTATCTGTGAAGAAGATGGCAAAAGCGGATCTTGATGTCACATTCACGAAAAAGGAAGCGATCATGAAGCAAGGTCGTGACCTGATTGCGAGATGTCCCATGCGGGGCGATTTTTACGAGCTCGATCTCCGTGCCGATACGGTGGCGGCCAACATGTGTGGAGCTGTGACTGGTAACCTGTGGCATCGTCGACTGGCTCATTTGGGGAGCAAGAGTTTGCAGACACTCGCGAAGCATGGCATGGTAACAGGTATTCCCGAGAAACCAGATAAATTGGATTTTTGTGATGTTTGTGTTCTCGGAAAGCAGTGCCGAGAACCATTCACGGGTACTAGAGTCCGTGCTACAAGACCTCTAGAACGAGTGCACTCCGATGTGTGCGGTCCAATTACACCAGCGGCTTGGGATGATTCTCGGTACTTCGTCACCTTTATTGATGATTACACGCACTTTGCAGTAGTATATCCCATCAAGAAGAAGTCCGAGGTGTTCCAGAAGTTTCGAGAGTACGAGGCCATGGCGAGTGCCGCTCTGGGACATTCGATTTCGAAGCTGACTGTCGACCAAGGGCGCGAGTATTGCTCCAATGACCAGCGTGATTGGTACGTTTCCAAGGGGATCCAAGTCGAGCCAACCGCAGCGTACACACCACAGCAGAATGGAGTGTCCGAACGGTTCAATCGGACAATCGTCGAAAAGGTGCGTGCGATGCTGATTGAAGCCCAAACTCCGAAGAATCTGTGGAATGAAGCGGTTCTAGCGGCGGTATACCCGACGAACAGAAGTCCAACCACCGCGGTATCTGATTGGAAGACTCCTGCGGAAATGTGGACTGGTCACAAGCCGGACGTTAGTAAACTACGTGTGTTCGGCTGTAAAGCATTTGCTTGGGAGTCCACGGCACAGAGGAAGAAACTGGATCCGAAAAGCAAGCCTGCTGTGATGATCGGCTATGCGCCGAACGCCTACCGCCTGTGGAACAAAGAGAAGAAGCAGTTATTCCTAGCCAGAGATGTCAAGTTCGATGAAAACAGTTTTCCGTTTGCCACCCAGATCCGTGACGAAACTCCTTTGGTTGTTGCTCCGTACGAGTTCGAGGATCAAGATGAGGAAAACGTGCAAACCCCTGAACAGTCCGTTCAACCCGATGAGCCGCTGGTGGCTCAACATGACGACATCCTGACTGATGATGAAGAAGGCGAGGTTGAAGACGACGGTGTTGAAGAAACCGGAGCGCTCCCTTCGCAACTAGACCGTGGTTCAAACCTCGAAATGGAAACCCCGAGGCGCAGCGAACGGGAGCGCAGACTCCCCGGTAAGTTGAAAGAATTTCTGGTTGGAAAAATTTTCACTGCCGCGCAATCCCATTCTGCAGATGTTCCCCATAACGTTTCCGATGTACTATTTGACGGTTCCGTTGGACGAGATGAGGCCGAGCGTTCGATCTTCGATGTCCCGGAGGCGTACAAGGAGATCGCTGGACGAGCCGACGAAGCTCTTTGGCAGCAAGCGGTCCGTGAGGAACTGGAGTCGCTAGCGGACAACCATGCTTGGCGATTGGTGAGATGCCCTGCTGGTGTGGTTCCGCTCAAATCGAAATGGGTCTTCCGAATCAAGCCGGA